CAGACTTCTCTTTTAATGAATAATCTGTAAACATATCACACAAATACGATCGGAGTCTTGTCAGGATCCTATAACGAGAATGCTATATACATGAGAGTAGATTTTTACAGAGTAAAGTTTTAACTTCACAAGCTGCAGACATCCAAAATCAACCATTTCTTTCTTTTTGAGAAAGAAGGACAAGGTACCACAATGTAACCCAACACTAACCATGTTCATATATGCATAGTTCATGTCAGAGGCAGTTCACTTCAGCCAGGTGGGCCGCGTTCATATATAAATATAGATTGCAGCTCATGCTTTGGCTGTGGTTTGGAAAATGATTGGTTGTGAAACTTGAGAATTTTTCTGAGCAAATAGGGTCTGTTTCATTCACATGCTCCTTTGTTTCCCTTCACGTTTTGGATTGAGTGAATTCAATTGAAGTGTCACATCAGTCAGAAAAGCAATCAAGGACCTTTCCATGACTAAAGCAGTGTTTAATAGAGTTTTTTTTTCTCTGTGCTGACTTGGGCCAGAAGTTAGGATTTTCCATATTACTTCCTCGAAAATATAATAAATACATATTTTTAATAACATAAGTTTATATGTGTATATCTCTATAAATACATGTCCTTTGGCTAAGATTTTTAATGTTCTTGAAAGAAGTCTCTTAGGTTCACCAAGACCGAATTTATTTGGTACAATAAAAAAAGTAATATTGTGAAATATCATTACAATTTTAAATGAACTATGTTCTACTTTTAGTATTTTTTCATGTGATTTATTCCTGTGATGCAATGCTGTGTCACATGATCCAACAGAAATCATTCTAATATGCTGCTTAATATTTTCTGCATTTTAATGCATAGAAAGTTCAAAAGAACAACATTTATTTGAAATATATTTCATTTAACAGATGCTTTTATCCAAATCAAACCAACCAAGAGCAACAATATGTAAGTCCCGGTTAGTCTAATGCAGTACACATTTTTTTGTATATATGTATATGATAAATAAAAAAGAAAACAAGTAGATAAATTCAAAATAGAATAGAGAGTGCTAGTTTTAGAGGGTCAAGGTTTTCTATAAATAAAAATAAAAGTAGATAGAATAGAATAGAATAGAGAGTGCTAGTGTTAGAGGGTCAAGGTTGTATATATATATATATATATATAATAAATAAGAGGAGACAAGTAGATAGAATATGATATTGTTAATTTGTTTTGTAAATCTTTTGTAACATTACAATGTCTCTTTGATCAATTTAATGCGTCCTTGCTGAATAAAGTATTTGCTTAAAAAAATTTACCCCAACCTTTAAAATCGCTGTGTGTATGTGTATTTTTCATTAAGCGCTAAGATTTCTTAACCAAATATAGATGAATAAATAAATAAACAAACCCTTTTTTTGGTTGGAAAATTATGGAATAAAGTTTGAAACATTTATACATTTTTAGCCCATTCAAACAGGTGCTTCCAAGACGATCAGAAGTCATTCTTGCAATTCGATAAATCTTAATCGGTGTTAGCCAGATCAATCATGTTACCATGGCAACATTTAAATCAACCTATTTTAACCACAGTAATCAATATATCACACAAATTCAATGTGTTTGTTTAACAGGCATGTTGTTTTACCAATGCTGAACCCGAACCCAGGCCATCCTAATGGTAGAGCCACATAAAGACTGGTTTATCCCTCCATAAACCAGTTCAGTTCACTAAATGTCAGCCATCTAACCTAAAGACACACAGTGATGCACATACGAGAGGCTGCAGGGTGTACGGTTACTTTCGAGTTATTCTTACACACATCGGCAGGGCTTCTCTTTTGTAACAAAGACAGAAAGGAAGACGTAAATAAAGAGATCATGTGTGAGGGGTGCTTTGAGAGGCATAAAAGAAAAGAAACAGAAAGTAGGATGCTGTCAGTGATTGGCCAGTCGCAATGGATTGAAGGGATACTATGGCCTGAAACATACTTTACACCGGTGTATTAATTCACGACACACATATTGCCTTGAAACACTGAAGTCCTGGTCATATGGTCTTTCATTTCAACAACAAAAGATACACAGCTGTTCAAAAATTTGGGATCAGTACATGTTTTTTTAATTAATTTCCAGCAAAGATGCAACTTTATATCACAGTTTCCACAAAAAATATTAAGCAGCACTGTTTTCAACATTAATAATAAGAAGAAATGTTCCTTGATCAGCAATATCAGCATATTAGAATGATTTCTGAAGAATCATGTGACACTGAAGACTGGAGTAATGATGCTGAAAATTCAGCTTTACCATCACAGGAATAAATTACATTTGAACATGTATTCAAATAGAAAACAGTTATTTTAAACTGTAATAATATTTAACAATTTTTCTGTTATATTTGATCAAATAAATGCAGCCTTGTTGAGCATTAGACGCTTCTTTCAAAAATATATATTAAAAATATTTTTTACTGACCCAACTCTTTTGAATGGCAGTGTATGCATCACATCCCTCCTTTTTTTAAAAACTGATTGGCCTGTTTATTTCACTCGCTGCATGATTATATGGTTCATTTTGTTAAGACACTACTTTACAAGTATAAGTATATCTGCAATTTGAAGAAAAGTCTAATGCTAATGTAATGAGATAGCACCACAGTAAGGCAGAAACATGTTAACCTGATGATTTAGCTTGAGTATATTTAGAGTATATTTATGGCCGGTGAAGCGGGTGTCTCTGGCCGTCTCATTGACGGGCAGTGAGAGCAGGGTTGTCCTCACCGGTTTAACCCTCCATTCCAGCACAGTGACATAGTGTCTGACCACTGCGACTCCGTCCCGACGGCTCCCCTGGTGTCACAGAAACAGGATCAGTTCAGTTATGTAACCCTGTCCAGACAGAACTCTCACCCGTTTACTCACGCTTGGCAGTGGGGTGGTTGAATCAAAGTTCATGGATATTAGCTATCATGTCACCTTATAGTCAAGAACAGAAATGCAATCTAGACTCAGTAGTATGCAACTGTCTGCGAGTTACATTTGCTCAAATGTGCACAGCTAATGTATCCCACAATGCAATGCGGTTGTCCTTCCAAGACCTTCCAAGCTCTAACTATTTCTTGACCCAATATTTGTTTGGACTGCTAAAATATAAGACATTTTTACACAGACATGGATTAAAAATCAGAAAAAGAGCAACATATCTGTTTCTGATATCCTAACTTTTAAACATCAATAATTAAAAAATATACAAATGATATGCAAATAAAGAAAACTCATCGTTTCACTGTTTGTATCACTCCTCTTGCAATATTTCTCACAGCGATCGTCATGGTGGATATTTTTTTAAATAGCCTAAATAGTACAAAAATAAATAAATAATTATAAAAATGAATTATTGTATGCATACTTCAGCTATTTATTTTCATGCTGCATCATGAGGTCACGTGGCAACAGCATATAACATACTACCATTTAAAATGTTTATCCTTGTATATTTTGCACTATTTCACAAACCTATTAAAATATAGTAGGCAGTGGTACATCAATGACATTATGGCTCTCTCTCAAAATGTGTAAAACTTTGGTCTTCTCTCATTACCAGTGTAAAAGCACCAGCTTGGAGACTTGATACTATAGTATTAGTCATTCAGCAGCCTCTTTTATCTAAGGATTTGTATGTGTGCGCGAACAGCCAATCTCAGCACAACTCAGAAACCACTCGGCCAATCGCAGGACAATCACAGAGCCGATGTCACAGTTGCGAGGCAGGAGTTGGCTCAGTGCCTTTGGCAGGTTAATTTAGATACATTAAGAAGTTGATGTCTCTGGGGGGCAACAGAGAGACAGAGAGAGAGAGAGAGAGAGAGAGAGAGAGAGAGAGAGAAATAATGACTGTTCAAAGAATCTATGTGTGACTTGTGTGTTGAGTCTCAGACCCCCGTTTCCTTTGGAAAGACCACCACTGACATGTTCTGGTTATCCACATGTTCCAGCGAATATGGGAATGAAATAAACAGTCTGGTTTAGGGGTGGGGGAGACAGTATGACCAAAATCCAAAAACAGTAGTAATATTACACTTCCGTTCAAAAGTCTGTGGTCTGTAAGATGTTTTAATGTTTTTGATAGAAGGCACATATGTTCACCATGCCTGCATTTATTTGATCAAAAATACAGTAAAAACAGTTGTAATGTGTGATATTATTATGATTTAAAATAACTTTCTATCTGAATATATTTTAATTAATTCCTGTGATGCAAAGCTGAATTTTCAGCCTCATTACTCCAGTCTTCAGTGTCACATGATCCTTCAGAAATCACCAAAAAAAGCAGTTGTGCTTGTGGAAACCATGTTAAATTTTGTTCAGGATTATTTGATGAATAGAAAGTTCAAAGGAACATCGCTGATTGAAATGCTGTCCAATATAAAAGTCTTTGCTGTCACTTTTGACCAATTTAATATGCCATGGCAGAATGAAAGTAATATTTCTTTCAAAGAAACAAATGACTGACCCCAAACTTTTGAGCAATAGTGTATATCTCTGTAATGGTATGTTATATTTAAAATTAAACTAAAAATGACATATATTATGTAACCACATAATAATGCTAATTTATTTTTGAATAATCTAGTCATTCTGTTGTATATAAAGCAAATAAAAACACACACCTATGTCATGCTTTTCTGACCAAAAATGATAATTATGTCATTATTTACTCACCCTCATGTTATTCATCTCAAAAGAAGATGGGAACCTAAATCAGTTTTTGTTCCCATTGACTTCCATTCTGTTTTTTGTCGATACACTGGAAGTCAGTGGGAACCAGAAGCTGTTTGGTTATCAACATTCTTCAAAATATCTTTAGTGTTCTGCAGATTAGAGAAAGTCGTACAGGTTTGGACCGACATGAGAGTGAATAAATGACAGAATTTTCATTTTTGGGTGAACTATCCCTTAAAGATGTTTTCTAGATATCAACCTGCTTCCTTTCGTCCCTCACCTGTCTTCTTCTTCACACCCACAGAAGGATGAGGTGTATCTGAATTTGGTGATGGACTACGTGCCTGAAAACGTGTACCGGGTGGCCAGACACTACATCAGAGCCAAGCAGAATCTGCCCATGGTCTATGTGAAGGTAGCATCTGTCAATCTGACATTATTCACTATTCTGAAAACATGGGATTTTTCCATGCAGGTGTAAGTCTGTTTGTTGCTGGACCAGCTCATGAACCAAAGCTGCACAGCTTACTTAGTGAAACCAGTCAACTAGTAACATGGATTGTGTGGTGTAACTTGGTGAATCATGGTGGTCTTGCTAGTTTAGATATACTGGCTGGATGTATGAGCATGATTATTTTCTTGTTTTCATGAGTGTTTGTGCCATGACTTTGTTCCGTTCTGACCTTTACGGTGGAATATTTTGTAGATCTCAGCTGGCAAATCCTGCTGTATTAAAGTCACTATTTATGTGTGTTTTCAGCTATACATGTACCAGCTGTTCCGCAGCTTGGCGTACATCCACTCGTATGGGATCTGCCATCGAGACATCAAGCCGCAGAACCTCCTGCTCGACCCAGAGACAGCTGTACTCAAACTCTGTGACTTTGGAAGGTGAGACAGGGAAATTGGGTGCTATCTTGCATTTAACATCTGCTGGAAAGTTAACAGCACTTGTTCATTTCAAGTTCTTGAGTAAAACAATGTTGAAACATTGCCAGAAGTTCTGTATTGATGCTCATAAGCTATAAAACCTTTTGTTGATTGACGTAAAGAAAATTGTGCATACACTACCATTCAAAAGTGTGGGGTCAGTAAAAAAAAAAAACATTTTTGAAGAGAAATTAATACTTTTATTCCCCAAGGAGACATTAAATTGATCAAAAGTCACAGAAAAGACCTAGTTAGAGAAGATTAGAGAAGGTTCTGTATCACAGTTTTCACAAAATATGAAGCAGCACAACTGTTTTCTACATTGATAACAATAAGAAATGTTTCTTGAGCACAAATCAGCATATTAGTATGATTTCTGAAGGATCATGTGACACTGAAGACTGGAGTAATGATGCTGAAAATTCAGCTTTGCATCACAGGAATGAATTAGATTTAAAAATATATTCAAATTCAAAACAATTATTTTAAATTGGAAAAAATATTTCACAATATTGCTGATTTATTTAATTGTTGATCGAATAAATGCAGCCATGGTGAGCATAAGAGACTTTTTAAAAAACATTAAAAAGTCTTATCAACCCCAAACTTTAAAAATGCTGTGCACGTTTGTGTTTCTTTACAAATTGATCATTTGGAGTGAATAGTGAAAGAATAGCATGCAACAAGTGTCTTATCATATACAACATGTGAACATAAAAGCATCTCAGGATGCACTTCATGAAGTTGGTTGAGGGAATGAGGACTTTGTGCTGCTGGCATGTGAATAGCAGCAATATAAAAACACAGAAAGACGTTGCTTGTGTGATGTGGTACCTTTACTGGAAAACTTCATCTGGCAATTTTACAGAAACTGAACGAGTCTCATGTGTGAAAGTGACTATTTCATGGATCAAATCCCATCATCAGACCCATTTGGCTTTCACATTTAGCATTCTGATCTAAATCTATGACTGACTTTCTTTGATTAAACTGCTTTAAACTTCTTGATGTTTTTTTTAAAGTTTTGTTTGGATGCAGTTAGTGTTTGGCTGTTTGGCGATAATGATCATGATTATTGTTCTTGTGATGATAATGTGTCCTATTATGATGGCTGTTTTGATGTGTTGGTGTAATTTCTGGTTATGTCTAATTCTCTCTGTCTGTGTCGCGTTTGGTCTGTTTCTTTCTGTCTCCTGCAGTGCTAAGCAGCTGGTGCGTGGTGAGCCTAATGTTTCCTACATCTGCTCGCGCTACTACAGAGCCCCTGAGCTCATTTTCGGAGCCACGGACTACACTTCCAGCATAGGTAATCTAATGCTCTTTTTATTCTAAAACGTTTTAAACTCCACCACCAGCATTGGCGTACTAATGCTAACTCTTTTTTTTTTTTATCAAAAAGATTCAGTATCATACAAAATCCTGTCCTGTTATAGTTTGCAGTCATAATATAAACAGGACTTAATTCAGATAATATTGTACAATAGATTCATTTGAGCTTGAGTGTTACACTTAGTAAATCATTGTGTTTGTGCTGTGGGGTCAAAAATATATATTTGGGATTGTTTATGGGTTTTTGAAAGTCAATTATTTTCACCAAGGTTGCATTTATTTGATCAGAAATAAAGTAAAATAGTAATAATGTAAAGTATTCTTGCCATTTAAAGTAACTGTTACTATTTGAATATGTTTTCAAATGTAATTTATTCCTGTGGTTGCAAAGCTGAATTTTCAGAAGCCATTAATCCAGTCTTTCAGTCTCTAGAAACTGAGATGCATTTTTCTTCAGGATTCTTTAATGAATAGAAAGTTCAAAAGAACAGCATTTATTTCAAATAGAAATCTTTGTAACATTATAAATGTCTTTACTGTCACTTTTGATCAATGTAATGTGTTCTTGCTGAATAAGAGTATTAATTTCTTTAAAACAAAATAAATAAATTTGACCATTTACTGTTTCAGACATATTAAATGATACATGATTTAAAAAGAATTAATTTACACATTTTCACGGTTAAAACTACATGCATCAACAATCCATATTGCAGCAATTTCGAAATGCTTGAGTGAATCACAACTCTAACAAAGCTGTTGTGTAATGCTAAAAGAACTTAAAAGCAACACTGAGACATGCTAATGAAATGTGATTGAATACATTTGTGCTGCTAATCTTTGTAAGAAGAGTGAGTGCTGTAATATTCAGTGTTTACCTTTGTTTTCATACAGACATTTGGTCGGCGGGATGTGTGCTGGCCGAGCTGCTGCTTGGACAGCCGATTTTTCCTGGTGACAGTGGCGTCGATCAGCTCGTTGAAATCATCAAGGTATGGAAGTATGAGAGTTTCATAAATAATAAAAAAAATTTGGATTGCTTCAACTTTTCTTTTTGGTGAAGTGTCTCATTACGCACTTTTCTAGTATTAATATTAATGTAGCGTCTGGACCACTCCAACACACAATATATATTTTGTTAGCTAGATTTCACAAATACTTTGTAACACCCCAGGACGCCGAACAAGACCCTGGTTTCATGGTAACCCGATACATTTACAACCTTGTGGAATGCGAGCCGCTGAGTTAAACTTTAACCCTTTCCTATACCAACTGTTTGTGTGTGTGTGTGTGTGTATGTGTATGTTAGAATGGCTTAATGTGTTTATGTTGTATGTTAGACTAGTTTAAGTGTTTGTGTAGTTAATAAAACCTTACTTGTATCACACTTGACGTGTTCATTGTTTACTCATAACCGGAGTCAATAATCATGCAGATTTACGTTACAAGCTTATAGAATTGTACAGTAAGAAAGTTATTTCCCTTAACCAGGAAATTAACGTTCTTAGAATTGACAAGACAGTTGACCCTGAGTGGTCAGCTAAATATCTACAGTGGATCTAAAATATGAATAGTTAATTATAACTAGTTATGGTTAATTATTCATATTTCCCCATGAGCTGATTCGCTACATTAATAAAAGTCGTTCTAGTTGTAACGAACCAATGGACGATAACATTTATTCTGAGCATGCACTTCAGCAGTTGCAGTGCGCTTTAAAGTAGGAAGGTTTTTGAAATGCTGTCAATCTTTTTATATTTCATCAGCTGAAAAAAATCACTCTGAAAGTGATTCCAACTACATTGTTCCTCTGTATATAGTTGTTATTGTGGTGGTGTGTGGACTATATATTTTAATAGCAACAGAATAAGATAACTTGTTTCCTCCAGGTGCTGGGAACTCCTACACGAGAGCAGATCCGGGAGATGAACCCAAATTACACTGAATTCAAGTTTCCACAGATAAAGGCACACCCGTGGACTAAGGTTAGCATGAGCGTTACCATGTGTTTCAAGTTTTTTTATCACTTTAATTCTAGACTGTGATTCTGGTCTTTACAACCGTCTTATTTTACGTCTGAGTTTTCTATGAACACTATGTATTTCCAAAAAAAGCATTTTGTGCAATCAAAAGTTTCAATTATTGTACAAAAGTTTGTATAAAGCATTCAAAAGTCCTGCGTTGTTGTCCATATGTTAGGTTTTCCGGCCCCGGACCCCTCCGGAGGCGATAGCTCTGTGTTCCCGATTGTTGGAGTACACGCCTACGTCCCGATTCACTCCTCTGGAGGCCTGCGCTCACACTTTCTTCGACGAGCTCCGTGAGCCCAACCTCAAGCTCCCGAATGGAAGAGAGCGGCCTGTGCTGTTTAATTTCACTACACAGGGTATGCCGCACACAAATGATGACGATTGATTTAATCTTTTTGATGTATTGTAACAAGTATTAACTGATTTTAATAGCAAATGTACACCAACATTCAAATACTTGGGGTTCGGTAATAGTTTTAAAACGTTTTTGAAAGTCTCTTAGGCTCACCAAGTCTGCGTTTAAATGATCAAAATGAAATATTATTACAATTTAAAATAACTGTTTTCTATTTGAATACATTTTAACATGTAATTTATTCCTGTGAAGCAAAGCTGAATTTTGAGCATCATTACTCCAGTCTTCAGTGTCACATGATCCTTCAGAAATCATTCTAATATGTGACCCTGGAGCGCAAAACCAGTCATAAGTACCATGGTTATATCTGAATGGGTCAAAATTATCTATTAGGATATTAAGTAAAGATGTTCCATGAAGATATTTTATAAATTTCCTAGCGTAAATATATCAAAATGTAATTTTTAGGGCTGGCTAAGTTAACGCGTTATTATCACGTTAACGCATTAATTGATTAAAAAAAGTGACATGTGGCCAAGTATGGTTACCCATACTAGGAATTAGTGCTCTGCATTTATCCCATCCTAAGTGCACACACACAGCAGTGAGCACACACCCGGAGCAGTGGGCAGCCATTTATGCTGCGGCGCCCGGGGAGCAGTTGGGTTTGGTGCCTTGCTCAAGGCCACCTCAGTCGTGGTACATTAACTCCCCCCACTGGTACAAGACTCGAACCCGCAACCTTTGGGTTACGAGTCCGACTCTCTAACCATTAGGCCACGACTTCCCACAACTAGTCGTGCATTAAAGTCCTTTGCTCACTGGCTCTGAATACACACACAGACAAACCATGGGTCACAGGAGGGGCGGGATGTTGATCAGTACTGGCTTGAGGAGGGTGTCATCACTTTGGGTTACGAGTCCGACTCTCTAACCATTAGGCCACGACTTCCCACAACTAGTCGTGCATTAAAGTCCTTTGCTCACTGGCTCTGAATACACACACAGACAAACCATGGGTCACAGGAGGGGTGGGATGTTGATCAGCGCAGGCTTGAGATGGGTGTCATCACATGTCTCAACCAATGAGAGCATTTGGGGTGGGGCTAAGACTGACGCAGGCTTGAGATGGGTGTCATCACACGTCTCAACCAATGAGAGCATTTGGGGTGGGCCTAAGACTGACGCAGGCTTGAGATGGGTGTCATCACACGTCTCAACCAATGAGAGCATTTGGGGTGGACCTAAGACTGACGCAGCGCTCACATGAAGTGCTCACGACTTCATAAGTGGGAAATAGGAAGTTTCTGACGATAGCATGTGAAGACAGCAGAGAAGTGCAGCAGAGAATCGTTTTGCGATCACACTAGTCAAATGAACCGGGCTTTGGGGGTCTAACGTGCTCGTGCACGGTTAAGATTGCCTAGTGTGAGTACACCCTTATTCTCTCGCATCACCACACACATGAGTCTCTAACCGCCCACACCCGCACTCGCCCATCAAGTGATGTCCAGCGCCGCACTCTGTTGCGTTGGGTTCCACGATAGTGCAGGTCTCTACACGAAAGGTTCCGGAATGTTATGATCGAGGCACTGGACTCTGAGCATAACTTGTTTTGCTATAACAAACTATAAAATATTTTCTATAAAAACGTTAATGCCCTGGCAGTGGCAAATAGCATTTGGTTTAATATTTAATTGAATTACATTAATGTTATAAGTTGAGATTTACAAGAAATATTTGAACTACTACTATGTAAAAGGAATACTGCTGTAAAAAAAAGCACCTTATTTGTTTAAAGTGTTTGCAAACCAAATGTTATTGCACTTTTGTTCATATAGCAGTACTTTTAAATGGAAAAAGTGCACAATACACTACTTTTGAATTCATTATGGAATTTTGACAATAACAATGCGATTAATCACAGAAAATCATGCGATTAATTGCGATTTAAAAAAAATGAATCGTTGCCCAGCACTAGTAATTTTTGATTAGTAATATGCATTGCTAATGACTTAATTTGGACAACTTTAAAGGAGATTTTCTCAATATTTCTATTTTTTTTTGCACCCTCAGATTCCAGACTTTCAAATAGTTATATTTTAGCCAAATATCGTCCTATCCTAACAAACCATATGTCAATGGAAAGCTTATTTATTCAGATTTTTTTCCATAGAATATTCATACTGACAAACCTAGCGACTTTTTTGGATAAACCTTAGCTATGGTTCAGTTGGAAGATTTTGCCAGTGCTGTCCCACGAACGCGAGGTCTGACTTTCCCGGAGAAGTGATGTCCTCATCTAAAACAACCGCATAGCCGCTCTTTAGTGTAGATGCATGTTGATTTTATCAGACGATGCCGCGATTATAAATGAGAGTGACTCCTGGTTAACATGTATTAAAAGGGGTCGTGTTTAGTCACTATGTAGTGTGGTATTTTTTGACAATATTCACTCATCATGACAGTAAAATAGGGCATTCTAAGTCATTATACTGCAGTATTTCCTCTCTCAATCAGTAGAAAATATGGTTAACACCCGGTCATGCATAAAAAAAAAAAATACCGTCATGTACCGTGAAACCGGTATAATTTTGAAAAATTCCATGATATAAATTTTTGGTCATACCGCCCAGCACTAGTCACATATGATGATTTGCTGCTCAAGAAACATTTCTTACTGTTAAAAGCAGTTTTGCTGCTTAATTTTTTTGTTAAAACAAAAATTTTTTTTTTCTTTGATGAATAAAAAGATTAAGAAGAGAATCTATTAGGAATAAAATATTTTGTAACATTATAAATGTTTTTACTATCTGTTTTGATCAGTTTAATACATCTTAATCGAAATTCGAGTTTTCTTTCAAAAACACTGACCCCAAACTTTTTTTTGAATGTTAGTGTAAATGTGTTTTCACTTGCATAATTCTGTCTTTTGCACTAATATCCATTGCATTTAATCATCAGATTTGTCCAGTAACCCCTCGCTGGCTTCCGTACTCATTCCTGCACATGCTCAGAACCAGGCAGAAAACTCTTCCCAGTCTGCCTTGGCTGCAACAGGTCGGTTTTTCACTTTTGGCCTCTCACAAACCCCAAGACTGTCCTCACCACCTCTTTTTTTTTAACCTTCTCTTACTGTTCCAGGTGCCAACAGTGGCGATCGTGGTCCGAACACCAACGCTGCCTCTGCCGCCCCTAATCCTTCAACTTGAACCCCATCCATCCATCAATGGGCCAATTTTACGCTGCTGCTTATTAGCCACGCCCACTCCCCGGGGTTAATGGCGTGGCTAAAACTAACCCAAAAGCTCATGATATGATGGATGCACCAAACCAAACCTTCCCCCAGTCATTGTCTTTGTTTTTATTATTATTTTATTTATTGCTCTAAAGGATGAATTGAGGGCTCAGAAACACCGCCCCAGGATTATCTGTGGTGATGTTTGACAATTCACTCTCTCTTTCTCTATATATACACTCATATAAACCGTTACACATACAAATAAGTTTTCATATGTCTACTTCGACATTTTTTAAAGGGAAATCTGTATGCTGTAGCCGCTTCTTCTTTTATAATTGTCTCGGGCCCCTTCCTTGTCACCTATGGGTAGAGACAAAGACTTTGAATATAAGCTGACACAGACGGCACAGGTGGGATACAAGAAAGCTGGTTTCTGATTGGTCGATATGACCAAATCCTGAACGGCATGGACTGATTTCCAGGGCTTGTGTACATTCTGTAGACTATGTGAAATATATGCTAATGACTTTTGCCTTTTCCCTCAGTATTGGGCAGATATGTTGTATGCTTAAGCTGTATGCTGCTGTGTTTTCCACCACTTTTGAAGGAGTGACATTATCCATTCGTTTCCTGCTCGTCTTCCTCTTTCCCGGTGTATAATACTTCCCTGAACTCTACAGATGTTGACACACACGTAATATTGGATCATTGTAATGAGTGAGAGTGTGTGTGTGTGAGCGCATGCTGTATGTCTTATGTCTATAAATACTGTATGCTGATTAGTGAGTTAAACGAATTAAGCACGAAATTAAGGAAAATGATAATCAGGACCCTAAAGGTATAGTTCATCCAAAAATGAAATTTATGTCATTAATTTCTCACCCTCACGTTGTTCCAAACCCGTAAGACCTTCGTTCATCTTCGGATTGTTGAATAGTCGTTATTTATGTTTTCTTTGCGCACAAAAAGTATTCTCGTAGCTTCGTAAAATTACGGTTGAACCCCTGATGTCACATGGACTATTTTACCGATGTCCTTGCTATGTTTTTGGACCTGGGAACATTGCAGTTGTGTCGCTGTCTATGGAGGGCCAGAGAGCTCTCGGATTTCATCAAAAACATATTAATTTGTGTTCAGAAGTTGGAACAACATGATGATGGGTAATTAATAGGGATGTAACGATTCACTCAACTCACGATTCGATTCACGATTTTTTTTTTTTACAAAACGAGATTAGACACATTATAAATTAAATGTGTCCTTTTATTATTGCTTGGACAAAATGCTGCACGTTTCTTTGTGAAATTGAAATATAACACTATAATAATATACTAATATAGCACTTGCATATTATTGCTCTTTTGTTGGTTTTGATTGCTTCTATTGTCCTCATTTGTTAGTCGCCTTGGATAAAAGTGTCTGCTAAATGACAAAATTTAAATATAATGTAAATGTAAATAACAAAACTAAACTTTAAACTAAAATTTAAAACAAACCCCAAATCAAATAAATAACACAAATCAAATAAATCTCTTCATATAAACAAACTAAGGCTTTGACTGTGCTCTTTCCATTTAAAATGGGAAGCAACCACTGCATTTTAATCTTGATCCAAACAAAGATGCTACATACATGCAACATGAGCAGTCTACACATAAATTAGATTGTATAATTTTCCAAATTTAAAGCAAAAACAGAATGGTTTGACTTCAGTTTTGTGAAACTACACATAAAAAAATATCTGCATGAAACCGAAACAGCAGACGAGCTGAATGAGACGCAGATTCACTCTCTGCCAGCAGGTGGCGCTTAAAGCGTTTCCTGGTTTCCGCTGTAAACAAAGCAGCGCTGCACTTATGAACTTTAATATGCATTATACAGAGGCAAGATAAAAAGAAAAAAAATACCATCTAAACTTTTCTAAAGACAGTAAGTTCCCCTCAGGCATATAAACTCTTACACCTAATTAAATCGTGATTAGTTTAGCATCTCAACCGATTTGAATCGTCACATATTTGAATCGATTTTCAACCGGCTCGCGGTTAATCGTTACATCCCTAGTAAATTCATTTTAAACCTCTTAAATCAATTTTTTAAATAATTTTCAAAGTTTTTAAATTCCTTGTTTTATTGTTGTGATTATCTATTTTTTTTCTTTTCTTTTATGTAAAGCACTTTGAGTTACCATTGTGTATGAAATGTGCTATACAAATAAACTTGCCTTGCCTTGCCTAGTAATTAATGACAGAATTTTCATTTTTGGGTGAACTATTCCATTAAAATGGAACATGTGAACAGGTTTATGCACCGCAAATTCTAGCCTAAAGAAAGATGTCGGCTTTAGCTCTCAAAATCGTGCCATTCGTGTTTGAATTTAGCAGGAATGAGCAGCTGAAAGTGGTTTGAACCCCTTAACCATCTGGACTGCCTCTTCAGGGAAATTGCACTTAATGATGAGGCGGAAGAAGATAAGATGGCAACACTTTCTCTACAGTACATTCGCTTCCATTTCTTGTTGTCTTTCTTCCTCTCGTTCTCTTTAGTGTCCCCTAGTGTTAGTGGAAGTGCACAACCGAGGCTGTTGTATCTTGTTCCTCTGAATACGGTTGTGAATTAGTACAGAAGAGTCACTTCAGACTCTGTATGTCTCTCCCAAAAGTGCTGTTGAAAGAATATCCATCTGTTCTGTTGCACAGTTAAAGCGATAATTCATCCATATATGAAAATAAGCATTGTTTGCTCACACTCAGGTTGATCAAAACTCATGATTTTCGTTCTTCCATGAATCCTAGAAGAAATGATTCCTTTTTATTTTAAATGATCTTTTCTGTACAATGAAAGTAAATGGTGACTAAGGGCTGTCAAACCACACAAAAAAAGTGCTATTTTAAAAGTCTTTTCAAGTCATACACTTGTCATATGGGAGGAAAACACAAATTAAGTTAACTACTAATTATTCATTTCTAACTCCCTAACTCTCAAATACTGTGTTGTGGTCAAATCTGAAGACACTTAGCATCACTGAAACAAAACCTAATGTGACACTCAATGGGATTTGCCATATTTTAATATGCATGAGCATAATTGAGATTTTAAAGCTGTAGCTGAGAATGTTTGTGTAATTTTTGTAGCTTAAAAGTTGATCTCCAACCATTTTCATTGTATGGAAACGATTCATCATCTCAGTAAAAATGATTTTATTTATTTCCTACATGAAAGAAAAAGTAAAGGTTTGCAACAATATAAAGGAGAGTAAATGATGATAGTGTTAGTTTTTGGGTGAATTGTCCCTTTAATGTTGTTCTTTTGAACTTGTTTTTAATTGACAACTATTAAAATAATATGATATTGTATGAAGGTGCTCCATTGCTCTCAGTATAGAGTGTATTGAAATGAATATTTGTTTAAACAATGTATGCTTGGCGAAGGGAACTTAAACTAAACTCTTGTTCAGGTCAGTTCACTGTCATAGCAGGGAAAATAGATTTACAGTGTTTTTCTTTTTTCTTTTCTTTTTTATACTTTTAGCTTAAGTTTCAGAAGGACTTTCTCTTAATCACCCAATTTATTGTACGTTCTTTTAACTGTTATGGAAAATCTTATATTTACAGGGTTTTTAAAAATAATTTAAGTTTCTTAATGATTATGTATAATATGTGAGAATACAGTGTCATGTATCTACAGTAGTAATTATTTTGCAATAATATATTTTTTATTTGTGTTTGGGGTTTTGTAAAATACTTTCAGCAGCACTTAAAGGGAGTGATGTCATGTAGCGCGACATCCTTTTACATAAGCTTTATTCAAATATGTTTTTATGTCACTTTGCTTCACGATTTCCTCAGCATGTACGTAAAGTATCACATTTCTCAGTGACTCATATTTGAGACAAATATGAGATGAAAGGGGAAATGGAGAAATATACAAACGTGACTGTTGGTAGCCATAAGAGTTAAACAACAGCCACCAAAACTGAAAACATAAACATGTAACAGCTATTATTGTTTTATATTATTTTTCTTTACGTGACAGTATGTTGAATGTTACACTGATGTGTGTTCTGGTTCAGAGGAGTCACCTGATACTGTACTGCATTGAATAAAGTGTAGGTTAGCCTCACTCCATCACACTGCTTCTTCTCTCTTCATTACTGAATGTCTGTTTTTTTTTCTCCCCTCACACATCTAGTTCTGGCAGGTCACGTTAGTCAAGCTCGCATTATGTGACTCTCAGCTGATCCCCATCAACCTATGGGAATACGACACCTATCTAAGCATTCATATATAAGGTCCCTCAGTATTATCAGCAGTTTTCGCACTGCTCAATAGCTAATTACCCTCCTCCATCCCCAACTCCTCCTCTGTCAGTCGGGAATATGGACAAAAAAGAAGCATTCTTCATTCTTGAGACATTCTTCAGTTTCACAGAAGAATGAAAGTCACACAGGTTTGGAACAACCTAAGTCAATGATTTTTGGGTAAACTATCACTTTACAGTGAACAGATTTTTTCTATTATTACATTCTTGAATCGTATTTGTCTCTTTCATCAGTTATGAACAACAATAGTGAATTTAGTTACTCATTGAAATTAGCTCATGTAAAGTAAAACATCAAAAATCCAGTATCTCAAAATGTTAGAATATTTACATTTGAGTTTAATTAAATGACCATCCCTACAGTATAAATTCCGGGTATCTCTTGTTCTTTGAAACCACAATAATGGGGAAGACTGCTGACTTGGCAATGGTCCAGAAGACGATCATTGACACCTTCCACAAAGAGGGTAAGTCACAGAAGGTCATTACTGAAAGGAGGTGGCTGTTCACAGAGTGCTGTATCAAAGCATATTAAATGCAAAGTTGACTGGAAGGAAGAAATTGAGTAGGAAAAGGTGCACAAGCAACAGGGATGACCGCAAGCTTGAGAATGCTGTCAAGCAAAGCCGATTCAAACACTTGGGAGAGCTTTACAAGGAGTGGACTGAAGCTGGAGTCAGGAGAGAGAGAGAGAGAGAGAGAGCGAGAGAGAACCATTTCTCATTCAAAAGCATATTCCACATAACTCCTAAGCAAAATATGTATGTATATGTACAGGTGCATCTAAAAAAATTTGAATATTGTGAAGTTCATTTTTTTTTTAACTTATTTCAAAAAGTGAAACTTTCATATGTTTTATATTCATTACATGTAAAGTAATTTTTTTCACGATATTCAAATTTTTTGAGATGCACCTGTATATGTCTAGATTCTCTGTTACTAGACATTTTCACATGCATTTAACAATCGCATTACTTATGATTAGTAATGACACACATTTCAGGATAGGAGAAACCTCCCACTGACTGTGTAAAAGTGTATCAGTCTACTTGAGTCCACTTACAGAGTGAGAAAAGTCCTTCAGCAGTCATCTTTTTTTGTTAAGATATGAAGCCGTTTTGCGCTGTTTGTATCCTGTTGCTTCTTACTCATGGTAAGCCTGACTGTTTATTTAAATTATTATATCTGGTCCAACTTTTCAAATTTTTTACTTTTCATGAAAATGCTGCGATTGTTTTATAGTTCCATAAAGAACCTTTAACATCCATGGAATCTTTCCATTCGCAAAAAGTTCTGAAAAAAAGGTTCTTCAGATTAAATATTCTTCAGACTAAGAAAAAATATTCTTTTAAGAATTTTTCACCGATTATTGAAACTATTTTTTTCACTGATCGGTTCACTGAAAGCTTCTTTGTGGAACCAACAAATGGCTCTTCTATGGCATCTCTGCAAAAACCCTCTATTTTGGAACCTTTATTATTGAATAATATATTTTCTTCCATTACTAATATTTTTCTCTTCTTTTTCTGTCTCAGATCTTGCTCTCTTATCATCCACAGGAATGGCATTGCAGTGTAACCTGTGTGTTTCCAAAGGGAATGGGGACCCCTGCACTCTATCAGTACAGACATGTATTTCCCACATGACGGCCTGTGGAAACATCACATTTAGAGCTGGTTTAACGGGTGAGTTCAGCAATCATCACAAGCCTTAAACAGATAGTGCAGAACACTTATTTGTGTTGTTTCCACAGCTCCTCCTTCTATCCGTTCCTGTATAAGCATGTCGGCCTGCTGGAGATATTTGCTCGCTCCAGAAGTGAAGGCTGTGTGCTGCAAGACTAACCTCTGCAACTAAGCCAACAAACCTGTAATCCGAATCATTAAAGACTTACGCTTTAGCTGAATTCTACCTTTCTGTAACCTTGGCGGTGTGATTATATGAAATTGTACTGAACACTTAAAGGCTCAGTAGGCAAATGTAACAACGAATTGCAACAAAAATGTTACAAACAGCAATGATGAATAACTTTTTGCAAGCGACAATAAAAGCTGTCAAGCTATTGTGTTCCTACGAGGTACAGTCTGTACAGAGGTCACACAAAATGAACAAATAAATGAGAGATATCACTTTAAAATAAAGTTTGTAGTTAATAATGAATAAGAAGTGCCACTGGAGGATTGAAGATTGAGATCAGATAATAGACCTAGTCAGTGTGGCGCCATATTGAATTTTTGGCAGGAATACACACGAAGCTCTGAGCGACAATGGATTCTACACTGATTGAAAAATTGGAAAAATCTGAATAAAACTTTCAGTGGACATAAACTCCATAAAACAGTTTTGAAAGTTGTGAGTTATGAAACTGACCTAGGACCAGTGTGTGCCATCGTAAAGACTCTAAGTCTATCACAGCCTCGTTTTCAACAGCGTAAAATTCAATATGACCTCTAACGAAAATTAGGTCTTTCCTGGCTAAAGGCACATATTATTTATTGCATTTCCTTGTTATTTAGATGCTTTTAAACGACTCATTGACAGCATCGGTTAAATGTTTTGAGACCGATATCTTATCAGGTTAGCTCTGAGGATTTTTTCTGTGTTTGTCGCTCTTTAAAAAGCAAGGGATAGCTTCTGGTGCATTATTTCTTTTCTTTTCTTCTATAGCTGTCACGTGTCAACTGAAAACTTGTTGGTAGTTCAAGGCCGAAGTGGCTCAAATAGATAGTAATGCCTGTCAAAGAGTTTCAGATGGCGCCATCTCTTGGACAATAGACAAACAGACACAGGGCAAGAGTCGAGGATAGAGCTTTTTCGCTACTAATGCTCAAAACAAAACAGCAAATTAAAGGGAAAGACACTGCAGACAATGCACCTGTCAATTTTGAGATTTGGGGCTTTTTGGTTTTTCATAAAGTGTTTTTTCAGACTAGTGGAAAGAAAACATCCAAAAGACACTGTTGAGTGTTTCTTTTATAGCACTTTATCTATTTGTGTCAATAGATTTCAATTACAATACATATTTTTAAAGGCCGTTTTCTCAAAATGAGTATTTTCTCCAACACTGAGCCATAAATCTCCACTTCAGTAGCACTTACACACACCAATTTTTTTTTTATTCCTGTCTATATTCTGAAGGTTTTTATAGAGGGATTGGTTCATACATAATTTTCTTGATTATATACAACATTTGATTCCCCCCAAAATTGTGAAAATATATTGTTTTCTGGCTGTTCAAAGTATTTTCTGAATTATGGAGTGACAAATAGAGATACCCAGAGTTCCCTCTGTAAAAACATTTGACTCTAATATGTCAAAAAAACAAAAACAAAAAAAAACAAGAATTTTGAAACTGACTTCATCCAGTGTTCAGATTTTTGTACTAGAAATGTATGCAAATTAGTGCATATTTCATTAAATAATGCATAATTTGCATATTTAAACATAACATTTTAGAAAACTTGTAATACAAATTTTTTTTTAGCAGTTATCAATGTAATCAATCAACTGGGTAAGTAAGGTGAAAACTTTTTTATATATAACTATACTTTTACCCTATTAACCTGCAGTGTCTTGCCTTAAAATAGCATAAAATAATAAAATAAAATAAACTAGTTCCTCAAAATAATTACATAAATAGCCTACATGTTGGCCTATTCATTACATATTTATGCAATAAACAAGAGCACTTACGTAGCCTAAATCTGAGCTAGTAAATTTCCCTGTGATTTTGCCCAACAAAATAAAACGAAATTAAATTAAACTTTTAAGTTAAATTGAAAGATTATTTTAAAAGTTGGCACTTCAGATAGGCTATCTTGACAAAAATAGATAGATGATAGATAGATAGATAGATAGATAGATAGATAGATAGATAATAGATAGATGATAGATAGATGATAGATAGATAGATAGATAGATAGATAGATAGATAGATAGATAGATAGATAGATAGATAGATAGACAGATGATTACATCGGTGCAAATAACTTCTAAAACGGGGTATAAATGTCTACTAATTTGTCTCTAATTTTTAAGTACAAAATGTGTGATTAGCTAATATGCCAATCGTACTATTTTAGATAATTATTGTGCGAGAAGGGTGAAGAAAGCTTTGGTGTTATAAAGCGGAGCACCATTTATCTTTAATATTCCGCACGTTTATGTGGATCAATGCCTGCAGGTTTTATGCACAGCCTATTTCCAAAATGTGGAAATTGAAATAAGTATAAATAAAATCGAATAAATAAATATAAGTAGCCTATGAATAAAATCGAATGACAGAAATAAGAAAATTGTTTGATCAGTGTCAGATACACTGTAAAAAAAAATCCCGTAAAAAAACGGTAAAATTCCGGCAGGTGGGGTGCCGGAAAAATACCGTAAAATAACAGGCACATTAAATAACAGTAATTTAATGAAAATATTTTATTATTAATGCTATATATATATATATATAGCGCACTGATAAATTGGTGTTATGTGTAAAAAACCTTCAAAAATATTTTTTGGGGTGTTATGTACATTGGCATTTTTTTTATGTGATTTACACTGGATTCCATTTCTGTAATTTAACATTTTTTACCTGTATTTCAAAAATACGTGAAAAAACTGTCAAATAAAACGGTAAGACAATAATAGGCCTCCAAAAAATAAGACGATAAAACAATCAAAAAATATTTTTTGGGGTGTTATGTACATTGGCATTTTTTTTGTGATTTTACACTGGATTTGTAAATTTACAGTCCATTTCTGTAATTACATTTTTTTTACCTGTATTTCAAAAATACGTGAAAAAACTGTCAAATAAAACGGTAAGACAATAATAGGCCTCCAAAAAATAAGACGATAAAACAAAAGGGAAACGGATAAACTTAAGAAAGAATATTTTTTATTTTATTTTAGACTAATAAATATTTGGTCTTTCAAGGCACTTCCAACATAAGGCCAATAAGTACTTCTTCTGACGGGTAACCTCCGTGTCAGATGATCTTAAAAGAGTTCCACATCTACCTGCTCCACA